CAGTGTGTGTGTGTGTGTGTGTGTGTGTGAGAGAGAGAGAGACAGAGAGAGAGAGAGAGAGAGAGAGAGATGCGAAGATTGAGAAAGAGAATGTGAAAACAGAAATGGAGAAAGTTCAGTGAACAGCTGAACTCCAGGAAATAAATATTACATTTGCCTCATGCCCAAAATAAATTTAGGTGCTCATACAGTCTTGTCACCCACACACAAATGCATCTGTTTAGAGAGATAAATTGCAAGCAAGTTTCTTCTATAAATTCACATAGCCTAGATTTGATAGCAATCAATTACTCGGCACTGTTTTTTTTTTTTTTTGTTTTTTTTTCACACACACACACACACAAACCCGAAAGAAGTTTGTGCTTCAACCGGGACTGTAACATTTTTAGGATCTCAATGAGCTAAGTACCACAAAGAAATGCTTGAATTAAAATGGAAACTGGAATGAAAGAAAGACTGGCTATCTCACTATCCATATAGCATGAGAGGGATTCAATAAAACATAAATAATCAAGAAAAACAAGAAAACTTGTAAGAATAGCAGAAGCTCTTAGTCTTATCTTAGGTGAGTGGTATTGGAAAACACTGTTATAATGCTGCAATAATAAAATCATGAAAAGGATCACTTTGTATTTAATTGTATTTAATTCTAAGAAATGTATCATGTTTATATGTGAAATGACCTTCTACAAGTGAAACCTGTGAGTTCTGCATATAAGTGCCTCACCATGCAGAATCACAATTCAAATCAATTACAATCTAAAGGTCGCTGAATGCACACACATGCACTCCCTCTCTTGCTCTACTCAATTGGCTGGTGCTGAAATCTTTCCCGCTACACTATATATACCTTGCTGCTGGAATTATTGTCATGACAACACATCATGGTGAGGCTTCTGTGCTATCAGAATGTCTATTTACTTATCAGTCTGCTTTTCTCAGGAGGGAAAATAGGCATGAAGCATGTAAACAACATCTGTCCAGTCAACCTTTTTGAACGCCTCAATTTTATCATTATAACTCAATTGCTGCAGAAGGTGATGCTAGTGCCTTGATTGCCATCTCCTAATCCCACTCTTTTGAGCAGAGGACTATTACACACTCTTTGTCCCGTCAGTGCTAATAGCTAGATTAAGTCGGCACTTCCCCTTGGAGTGTAAAGGGGATCTCATTCATCATTCAGTCTTTTATCAGCATATGAGGCACATGGAATGCTCAACAAAAACATTCACAATTGCAGAGTCATTGATGGGATTAGCAGGCATGCTTAGCAGGAGTGCTGGGAAATTCTGGCACACGAAACGATTCCATTGTATGGATGGGCTATCCGTCTCTCACACGTTGGCAATGTGCTCGATGTTTCGGTACATTTGAGATTTGTAATCCATATTTAATACGACAAGAACCAATTGTTTCTCCATTTAAAAGTAGAATGGATGAGCATGTTTGCAGTCAATGAATCAACAAAATTGGTTGAATAGGGTTTCTGGGGACATCACATAACATCACAAGTCTGTAAGTGTTTTTTTTTTTTGTTTTTTTTTGGCTGGGCATGACTATTTTTTTGTTTTGCAGAGGCATAAAATTACCTTGTTTCCACCAAAATGGTGTTGGTTCTCCTGCCAGGGTCAATGCTTGGCTGCAGAATCTACAAACCTCTCTCAGAAATGGGCAGCATTTACAATTCCACTGACTTCGTTCCAGAGCCAAACAATGAGTATGTTAGCCTACTAGATAACCTGCCAGCAAATACACATGATGTATATATCGGCCATATGAGTTTTCAGAATATATTTTAATATCCAAAGATTCAGCAACTTTTTTCTCTTTTCAGGTTTCTTTACTGGAATTTTCTAATTAATATCAAGTGCACAGATTCGACACAAGTTGAAATTCCTCAATATTTTTACCCCAGCTATCAAAACACCAAAGAAATACAAACAATAAAGCAGTAAAATTAAATATCCGGCTATAAATAAAAATGAGAACAGAATAATATGTTACAACACAAACACATAATATCAAAATAAATAATAAAATAGAACAAGTTAAAAAAAATGAATAGAAAAATAAAAGATGTGCTAAACTGTAACACCATGCCAGCTTCTACGATTATTTCCTGTTTGGCTACTATATACTGTAGCTAGACATTGTAAGTACTGTAAGGAATTTAACTCATTAATTCTTATAAGGGAATTAATTATTATTCATTCTATTCATTCAGGTTTTGAAAGGTCTCAAATCTGAAAATTCTAAGTCCACCTGTTTAGAACTGATTTCAAATTTGTTATTTTACACCTTATCAGCTACTCGTCCTGCGAGACGTTAATGTCAGTGTATATTAACAATTTGACTATGTATTTTCCCAGGCCATGGGTTAATACGTTATTTGATAAGTTATACGCTACGAGCTAGGTAGCAATGATCTTGGCAATGTTTTTGACTTTAAAATTTCACGACACCAGACAATGATTCTTTATAAATGAAAC